ATTTTTCAAAGCTTAAAGCGCTTTATCAATATTCAATGGCTTTTCAAAGACCTGAATAAAAGATTTCTTCGTAGCGAATGCTAAAAAGTCATTCTTAGCTCGATTTGGTTGAATTTCGAGACATTTCTCTTCAGAAAAGTCTAAACAAACCGTAGCGGGAGTATTGACGTCCCGGAGGTGATTTAGAATCCGTAAGGTGCTTGAGCTGAGATCATCGGACAGATTGCTGTTAAAGCCGCTTCGGTGGCTGTAAAAAGTCATTGAAAATCTAGAAATTTGGTGATTTTCTATGAAAGACAAGGTCGTAGGGAAAGTTTATTTTGAAGCAGATTTTTATTTTTTGCAGTCCAAAGCTAATCTTCACAGTAACATTTTTGTATTCCAATATAAAATTCTCCAGCCGCTTCGGTAATTGGAAAAAAGGCTTTAAAAGTCTAGGAATGATTTTCAATGAAAAAGGCGCAAAAAAAAATTTTAAAGCAGTTTTTATGTATCATTTTTTACAGTTCGGCTAATTTTTACAGTAAAATTTTTGTATTCCTACAGAAAAGTCTCAAGCCGCTTCGGTGACTGGAAAAAAAAGTCCTCAAAAATCAAATTCTGATTATTTTCAATGGAAGACAAAGTCCTAAGGAAAATTTTTCATTTTTTTTACAGTCTCAGGCTAATTTTTCAGTTTTCATTCAGTATTTCTATATAAAAGTCTCAAGCCGTTCAAAATTTCATTTTATTTCCTACAAGACTTATTTTTCTTTCAGAGTAAACACTTTTCTACAGACTTTTTCAAAAACTCCACTAAATTCTACAGAAAACAGGATTACAAAAATTTCTAAGCCCTGAAAGAGAAAATTTACTGGCTTTTGAGAAACTTAAAAAATTTACAAATCTGAAAAAATGACACATTAATCCACCTCAGTAAAGATCGGTTGAAATTGGAAGAAACTGAGGAAGTTGTAGAAAATGCGCCGGACCAGGTGGTGTCCAGGGCAGCAGCTCGGTTCGCCTGAAATTTCACGAAATAAAAATATTTTAGAACACAGAAATACCGGATTCGGTTCGAGCAAAAGACTGCGATTGGCCACGGAACGAGATCTTTTGGCCAAGTTCGACATGTCCAGTGAAACGTCCGAGGTGAGGCCAGTTAACTGGCGCTTTCTTGGCTGAAAATTTGAATTTAAATGCGAAATATACATTTTTCAAACTTTATCCACGAGAGGAGTGCTGAAAATGTCGGACGCCGGCTCCCAATCTCTTTCCAGATTCTTCAGCTTCGAGGACTCAGCTGGAGTATCGATCGCCGACGGGCTCAAATACCGAATGCTCCTACTTTTCGGCTCCGACTCAGTTTTTGGACTCTTATCTGAAACCACGACGTAAAATACCAAACAATAAGTCAGCAAAATCACCAGAAATAGAAAAAATATCTTTCAGCAAATTTTTTGAGGCCGAATCCGTTTTGGGCGACGCATTTTTCGATCGCGAACTTATTGGCGATCGATCTGCGCCTTTGGAACCTGAAATTATTTTGATAAGAAGGCTTTTTATTAAGATCGATCACCCGAAAAAATGCGACCAAACCAGCTTCCAGGTTTATCGGTCATTTCATGAACTTCAACACGGTTAGAATATACAACCTGAAACTAACAAATTTATCAAAAACAAAATGGTTCCTGACATAAAACGGAAAAAAATTTAATCGAAAAACCAGAGAAAAATATACAAGAGTTCAAGTTAGTTGTAAAAGATGTATAATTTCTCGGAACACGATTTCAAGTGATAATTTAGTATACCAGAGTGCTCCGAGGTTCAAACATGTGACAAAATAAATCGAAAGAAAAACAGGAAATGTTTCGAAACAAAGTAAACAAGTGGGAGAGACGAATTTTCTTCGAAAATTTTCGAAGCGTTTTTCTTCGCTCAAACATTTGCATTGCTTTTAATAAAGAGCATTCACTGATTCTCACTATAAAGATTATAGAACGTTGAGAAATTGGTGGTATGAAAAAAACACCAGCGAAAATTCAAACGGCGATTTTTTCATATCGCTAGGGAACTTTCCGACGGCCACCTTTCCGACGAAATTTTTCCGACTTTTTTTCTCGATAAAATCTTCGTTTTAAAACTTCCTATATAAAGTAAGTAGTTGGTTCATGATTAAAACACAAAGAAATAGGAAAAAAAAATGTTTATAGATGTTTTATAAACATAAAAACATAAGGGAAAAAAGTCGGAAAAAAAGATTCGTCGGAAAGGTGGCCGTCAGAAAGTTCACTAGCGATATGAAAAAATCGGAAAAGTCGTCTTTTGAATTTTCGCTGGTGTTTTTTTCATACCACCGAGAAATTCACATGAAACATACGAAAATCGCTTTAATAGCATCAAAATCGAATCTGATGGGAAAATGTTATTTAAAACTTATGCTTTGCATTCATTCCACTGCATTCACATGATAACTGATTGATGAATGCTTTGACTATCATGAAAACTACAATTATTCAATTTAATAAACACTTTTTAATAAATAATATAATCTAATTAAAAATTGGGAAATTTTGGTTTTTTTCATTTTGTAAGGAAACTTCCTAAACAAACTTTATTTTTTTGCCTCATTTTATTAAGCAATAATTAACAGGAACACTCATCATAAAGCACTTTAAATAAAACAATTAAAAAAGAAATTGAAACTTTGCAACAGTTTTGCCGCGCAATTTGAGCAAAAATGAGCCGCGACGCGACCGCACGCAACGAAACTTTATTGGCAGATGGCCAAAGGGAGTGTGCGCCCCATCGCGAAATGTATTCGAGATTGGATTTTCTTCTTCGGCTCACCGCGTTTCCTTTATCCTTAATGGCGTTTTAGCGAATTGTAGTTCGTTCATAATGACTTGGTGACCTGTTCCAAGGTACGGGGCGAGTTCCAGTCAAAAATTTGTAGTGGAATGTGAATTTAGTACGGGGTTTTGCGAGAAAACAAAAAATGACTTTAAAAATTTCAGTAAGCTCTTGTGATTCACGTGAATGAAATTCAGGATGTTTAGATAGCTTTTAAAGTACTTAATAAAGTAAATGGGAGTCTCTTAATTGAATATATTCAAAAAAACCTGCAATTGGCTTCATTTTTTCGCGTCCTTTATACTTCTTTTTCTTTTGTTTCTGGACCTTTTTTCTCCATTATTTCGATATTTATTCATTCTTCTTGCATGAATCGGAAGTTTATCGTTTATATTTTGTTGTAGAATCGGTTATTTTATTTTATTGAGATTTTTGAATAAGTTGCAGTAATAAATTTTTATTGATTACTATCATTTACTGCCCTCTTTTTTTATTCTATTTGGTTATTTAATGTCTCAAATAATCTAATGATATGAAGTGTTCCAAAAAAGTAGAAAATGTTTGGAAATCGCGAAAAATTATTTTTGACTGTTTGTTTTTTTTGCACTGAACACAAATCTATTGATATTTTGTCAAATTTCTTCATTTTTTTTCCCGGTTTTTTTCTTCTTGTAAACTCGAATAAACGTCGTACAATCCTGGAGACTTGTGCAGAATGGAGGAATTGTTCCTCTTCAGTGGAGAAATTAGCCTGGGCGTTGTTCAGCCCCTGGCTCCTCCCACTAGTTAGGGAACGCTCCGCCAAAGTCTTTCCATTTGTTCGTATTTTCGAGTTTTCCCCTTTTCCGGAATGAAGATGGCTATATTATTAGTATTCTATGGTTTCTAAAGCTTTTTATTAATATTTTGAAAGTTTTAATTTTTTTTCTCTGTTGTACAAGGTTTTCTGAAAAAACCACTTCAAAAAAAAAATTCTTGGATTTAAAGCATTTAATGACCTGAAATAAAAAAACATAACTGCTTTTTTTCGCTGTGAGACCTTTTAGGATTTCTTCCTTATGCTCCTTTAAATTTTATTGAATAGCCTGGTCGTGAATGAACTATTCAAAAAAACGACTTTTTTTGGCTCAAAAAAATTGAGATTTTCAATTTCCCAATACACTATTACAATTGTAAAATTTATTTTTTTGCATTCTAAAAAAATGTTAGAAAAACATTTTTTTACTGTTTTAAATGCAGAATTTTTAGTTTCATGAGTCATTTTTCATGTTATTCTCTCCTCATAAAATTATCAGGATACTGTAAAGTTTGTAATTTCGCTCTATATTTTTTTATTTTCGTTTCAAGACCTTTTCGAGACCTTTTTTAGTGATTTTGGACTGTAAATCAATTGGGAGAATCTCTCAGAAATCTTTCTTTCCAAGAAAAAAAAATAAGCGCATTTAAACGTTTCTAATCAAGTATTTTAGTTTCATAAGTCGTTTTTACTGCGATAGCTCTTCCTTATTTATGTCTTATAAAAAAATTTCCACATGAAATTAGCGGGTTACTGTATTTTGTATGAATCTCCAAGTTCAGCACGCTATTTCTCTTTTTCGTTTCGAGACCTATTTTTTTATCAATTTTTTTAATAATTTTTAGATTGTGGATTTTTTTCAAGGTTGGGCAATTGAGAAAAACGCTTTTGAATAGCTAAAAAATAAATTTTCGTTATAAAAAGTCTAAAAAAAAAAAAATAAGTTCGTTTTACTGTTTCAAAGGTAAAATTTGCTGTAAAAATCCAGCGGGTTACTGTAACTTCATACGAATCTCTAAATTTAACATGCTATTTCTCTAATCTTTTCGAGACCTTTTTCGGATGCTTTTTATTCATTTTTGTCCTTTGATTTTTTTTTCAAGGGCAAAAAAGTCATTCTTCATGTATTCTCTCTATGCTTTAAGTTCCGTATTTATTCTTTTTTCCGAATATTCACTTTTTTTCAGGAATTTTTTCAACTATGCAATGAATAAATGTGAATAACTTTCAAATCATGAAGACTCTACTCCAATTAAGTTAGTTTCATCGGAATTTACTCGTTAAAAATAAGAATTTTCAGTCATTTTAACGACCATTTTCCCATTTTTCCTGTCCAGCCGAACACATAAACATCGGCGGCGATTTGTTGATAATGGTTCGTTTTTTTTTCCAGATTTTTAGGGGTTCAATATATTTTTTCAGGCTTTTCTAGGAATTTCAATTTTTTTTAAAGGATTTTTCAGTTTTGACATGGAAAATTTGTTAAGACTCTCTCAAAAAAATTAAATTTTTCCGTTTTTTTATAAATTTTAATTTTTTTATTTTTTTCAGGTTTTTTTATGGTCGTTTTTTTCCCATTTCATTTTGAGAAAAAAATGATTTTTAATAATTCCTGAATTTTTTTAACTTCGAGAAAAAAATCCGATTTTTTTGAAAAAAAGCTTGTAAAAGTTGAACTAAAAAAATATTTTTTTCTGTAAAGAAAAAAATTATTTTTTTCGTGGTTTCTAACTGATTTTTCTTGTTTAATTTTTCAAAAAAATATCTTTCTAAAAAAAGTCCAAAAATATGTTTTTTTCGATATAAATTTAGGCATTTGCGCTGAAAAATCTTGACAAGAAAAAAATTTTTCAAATCGAATTTTTTTGAGGTGAAAAAAATCCATTTCAGATTAAAAATCTTCAATTTCAAGCTAAATAGGAGTCAAATAATCAAAAATTAATTCCATTAAAGTTGATAAAAAAAGAATTTTAATTAAGAAATTGAACCGTTTTAATGAAAAATAATCAATTTTTGAACGTTTAGATTCGCGTTTTTTTGGACTTTAAATTCGAGGCCGAGCCGAAAAGGAACGTCTCCGTGGTCGGAGGGGTACAGTTGGACTGCCACTACGTTGTTGGCAACGAAAAATTGCTGAAAGACGTGAAAATCGAGTGGAAACGCGAGGGAACTCTTATCAACGAGAGGACCAATCCGAGGATGTCAGTTTGGGCGGGAAAATTGGGGAAAAATCGTCTTTTTTCCGGTTTTTTAGGAAAAATGTGCTTTTTGGAAGGTTTTTTCATGGGTTTTTGAGATTTTTGTGTAGGAAAAATGAAGGATAAGTTAGAAAAAGGAGATTTTTTAACGGTTTTTTAAAGAAATTACATTTTCGGTAGTTTTTTTTGTTAACCAGTAGTAGTTTTTGAGTGGGAGAATCGGGAGAAATTCATTTTTTTCGGCTTTTTTTGGGGGCAAAATGGGCTTTTTTTCAGTTTTTTTGAGAGTTTCGTGTAGGAAAAAAATGATGGAAAAAAATGAGAAAAATCATCATTTTTCTGGTTTTGGAGAAATTTGGATAGCCTTTTTCCAGTGGTTTGTAGTAGTTCTGTGTGGTAAAATCAAAGAAAATTGAGAAATAAGGGGAATTTTAACCGTTTCATGAGAAATTACGCCTGTTTTCTCTGTTGTAAAACTTTTAGGTGAAAAAATTGATAGAAAAATTAAGAAATTGACCATTTTTTGAGAAAAATTATGTCTCTCCGCGGATTTTACTCAGTTGCTTGTAGGAGTTTCGTGTTGAAAAAAATCGAAAAAAAGTTCACAAATTTGCTGTTTTTTTCGGGAAAAAAATAGTTCTATCGGAAGCCTTTCATGCGCAAAATTAGATATATTAACTTTTTTTCTATAAATTTGTTAAAATGCATTTTTAACTTCATATAAAAACGCTTTGATGATTGATTTTAGCGTTATCCTTTTCAAGGTTATTCAGAAAAAGTATACTCAAAATTATTTCATTATTATTTCACTTTTTCGGTTTTTAGAGACGTTTTTAAAAAAATATTTTTTTCTTGAAAAAAACACTATTCCGTATGATTTGGGCCCTTTTAAGACAATTTTTTAAATTGAATAATCTTCACCAGTGACTGTGTATGCAACAAAATGTGCTACAGTAATATAATCGGAAATTAATGATGGCCGAGACTTTCAGCACCCTTTTTGCACCCCTTTTTCACTTTTTTTGAAGCTTTTTAGTCCACCAAGAAAGAAAGGCTCAATAAAGGCCGCAAAACAGGAACCTTTTAGCAGCCATTTTGCAGTCACTCCCTTCAGAAAAGGACCCTTTACAGGCCCTTTGAGGGTCCGTAATAGGTGCAAAAAGGTTTCCAATAATTGTTCCTAAACGGGTGGCAACGCTTTCCTTTTTACTGCCTTTTTCTGCCGTTTCATTAGCCTTTATTGACCCTTTTTGGACCCTTTTGAGAAATACGAATTTTTTTTAGATGGAGAATAATTTTTACAAGGGACTGTGTATGAACCACAATAAGCTACAGTAATAACATCGGAAATTATTGATGACCGAGACTTTTAGCGCCCTTTTTTCACCCTTTTTTCGCCCGTTTTGCACCCTTTTTGCACCCTTTTTAGCCCAACAAGAAAAAAGGCTCAATAAAGGCCCCAAAACGGAACCCTTTTAGCAGCCATTTTGCACCCCTTTTCCGCATTTTTTCTTACTTAACTGTCCGATTTTTCCACGTTTCTCCAAGAAAGCTGCACTCAAAAGACCAGTAAACAAACTATTTCATAACTCCTCCTTTTTTGGGTCCATTTCCAAACGTCTGACTTTACTAGAAGCTTATATTCGAGTGCAGAAATGTTGCCAAAGGGATTACGAAGCTTTTGGGGGAAAAGTCTTGCGAAACGGCCAAAAGCCGCGTCTCGTTCATGCATGAACAAAGTGATTTGCATATTGCGTCCCCCCCGCCGAAATTTCCTTGGGTCCAGAACAATGTCACCAGATTTTGGCGTTTAATTGTGGGTAATTAAGCGTTTTTCGGGGTTCCTAAAGAGTTCAGTTGACTATTTTCGATAGGAAGTACTCCGGAAAGTACAGAAATGATACTTTAAAAATATTTTATTGAAAACTTGAGGGTAAATAGGCGATTTTCAAGGTTTCTAAGGACTTTATTCAATGGGAAATACTTCGGAAAGTACAAAAAAATGATACTTTAAAAAAATATTTGATTGAAAAAAATTGAGGGTAACTAGGCAATTTTCGGGGGTTTAAGAAGTTTTTGTGGAGTTGGAGTTTCTACAATAAATTGTTTCTTGATAAGTTCAAAAAAATGGTGGTTTTTTTGAGCAATATGATCATAAAATTGTGGGTAATTAGGCGTTTTTCGGGGCTTCTAAAGACCTTAATCAACTGGGAACATTTCGGAAAGGACAAAACATGATCCTTTCGAAGTAATTTGATCATAAAAAAAAACTATTTTGTGGATTTTTCCCTTTTTTTCGTTTTACCGTTGAAAATTTTTATCCAACTAAACACCTAACACATAAAAAAAGTACCACGAACCTAAATTTCAAACGTTTTTCTTGCAGAAAAAATGATTTACCTAATAAAGACTTTTCGTATGGAGACTTTTTTCTGACATAGTCCATGCTCCTTTAAAAATGAAATACAAAAGGATTATAAAGAAAATTTTCAAATGGTGAATTTTAAGCTCTTTGTTACCAATATCTTCATCAGAATGGATTCCGGATCAGAATGACAAATCCGAGCCCAAATATGTAATCGAATATGGGGAAGGTCTCGTTACGCAAGTCTTTCTGTTGGCGGACGCATTGACTCGGGTTAAAATTGCAATTAATTGCATCGATCTTTCGGGGCTTTCCTGTCAGAGCAAATTGCGGTTTGAATAGGATTTCAGGGGAATTGTCATCATAATTATAGGAAAAATAATGTTTTTTTGAGTCTATTCGAACTTATATCGTTTAAAAATGCTTGAAAATCAAATTTTAGACTCGTTTTTCTGTATACTTTTTTCAAGATTGCACTTTCCAGATAGAAAACTTTGTCAAATTTCGTTTTCACTCGGATTTCGGGGCATTTTTGAACCTTTATTTGGATATAAAAACGTTTTTTGCAGTTTTTTTGAACTTAAATAGGATTTCAGGGGAGTTTGATCATAATTATAGGTATAAGAACGTTTTTTTGTAGTTTATCCGGGTTTTGATCGCTAAAAAATGGTCAAAATATGAATATAAGACGGTTTTTAGTAGTTTTTTCGGATTTGAACAGGATTTCAGGGGAATTTTCATCATAATTATAGGTATAAGAACGTTTTTTGTAGTTTTATAGAGTTTTAATGGCCAAAAAAAGCCTGAAAATCAAGTTTTAGAACGATTTTTCTTTATAATTTTTTCAAGGTTGCATTTTCAAGCTGAGAGCTTTGTAAAAATTCATTTTTACTTGGATTTTGTGTGATTTTTGACTCTAAACTTAGATATAGGACAGTTTTTTTCGAAGTTGGATCGCTTATAAATGCTTAAAAAAATCAATAAAAAAATTCCCTTTATTTTTAGGAAAAAAATTGGTCAAATTTTTGTTTTTTTACTAGGAATTTGTGGCGTTTTTTTACCCTTTATTTGAATATAAGCCAGTTTTCAGTAGTTTTTTTCGATCTTGAAGCGTTTATAAATGCTCATAATCAATAGAAAATTTTTTTCAAGTTGAAACATTTTTTTCAAAAAAATTCGTTTGCACTTGGATTCCGTAGAATTTTTGACTTTTTTTCGACTTTTTGGACACTAAATTTGAATATAGGATAGTTTTTTCGAACTCGAATCGCGTATAAATGCCTAAAAAATCAATAGGAAAATGTTTGAAAGTTGAGAAATTTGGTCAAATTTCATTTTTTTCTCGGATTTCTGTGAATTTTCGGCTGGAAAATGATCATTTTATGTAGAAAAAAAGTGTGTTAAAAAAACTTTGAAATCCAATATTGCCCTGAAATTGAAATTTTTTTAGCTTCTTAAATTTCATCTAAAAAAATGCCAAATACTTCATTTTTCCACCATTTTTTTGTCATATTTTTCTTCAAAAAAATAGAAAAAAAGCCCTAGGAAGGTCTTCCGAAGGCTATTCTTCAAAATGATGATCAAAAAAAGGGGGAAGGACCACCCGAAAAAGATCACTTTGCGAAGATCAACCACAGATGCCGGGTGAATTATTTGCCGCCGATCCTGCGGAGACGGAAAAAAAAACTCGTGTAGGAAAAGGCGACGGCCAGATGGCAGCTGGTCACTGCAAGGTCGAGCCGTTTGAGTAAGAGGGGGATGGGAGCCGATTCGAATCGATACACGCACTTTTTCTTGATGAGAAGTGGGTTGCGAGGAGATTTGGAGGGGCCTGGGTGGATTATTTTGAAGAAAAATATGATAAACTATCAAAAAATGATTATAAAAGTTCCAAAAAGTAGATTTTTTAAACTTTTTCTTGATGGAAACTGAGATTTGAGTGATTTGGAGGGACCTGGGTTGATTATTTTAAGAAAGAAAAAGATAAATTTTCAAAAAAATGATCATCAAAGTTCAAAAAGGGTTTGTAGAATTCAAAAAATTGATTTTTTTTTTAAACTTTTTCTTAATGGAAACTGAGATTTGAGTGATTTGGAAGGACCGAAAGAGACAACTTTTTGAAAAAAATGTACCCATTATCGTTGGAGCGCATTTGATGATAAAAAAAGAGCTGAGACCTTCCCGTGAAGAAATTTTCCAAAATCGAAACAAATTTCATCAATTTATCATTGGAGCGCATTTGACGACAAAAAATAGCCAAAAAATCTCAATGAATTTTTTTTATATATCATTGGAGCTGGGTGGATTATTTTAAGAAAAAAATACGGTAATTTATCAACAAAAAAATTATTATAACAGTTCAAAAAAACAAGTATATAGAATTCAAAAGAAAGCCTTTCCCATATATTTTGAACTTGTGGTACTAATTTTCCGACTTTAAATTTCTGGCGTTCCTTTTTTCAAAGAAACCCCGAAAGCCATTCCAAATGCGGCCGATTCGAATCGATATACGCACTTTTTCTTAATGAAAAATGGGGTTGCAAGGAGATTTGAGTGATTTGGAGGGACCTGGGTGGATTATTTTGAAGAAAAATTATGATACAATATCAAAAAATGATTTTGGAAGTTCAAAAAAGAGGTAGTTTGACTTCAAAAAGTTGATTTTTCAAACTTTTTCTTGATGGAAACTGAGATTTGGGTGATTAGAAGAGACTTGGGTGGATTATTTTATGAAAAATGGGATAAACTTTCGAAAAATGATTGTAGAAGTACAAAAAAGGGCGAATTGACTTCAAAAAGTTGATTTTTCCAAATTTTTATCGATAAAAACTGAGATTCGGGTGATTAGGAGGGACCAAGGTTGATTATTTTGAGAAAGAAAAAAAGATAAATTTTTCAAAAAAATGATGATCAAAAATTCAAAAAAAGAGTAGATAGAATTCAAAAGACAGACTTTCCCATATATTTTTGGACTTGTGGCACTAATTTTCTTACTTCATATTTTTTGGCGTTCCTTTTTTTAAAAGGTCCGAAAGCCATTCCAAATGCGGGCCGATTTGAATGTATTAACGAACTCCAGAGTGGTCCCTATAGGGGCAACCTTAAAGGACCTTGGTGGGCCCCTCTAGGGACCACTTTACCAACCTTTATAGGGACCATTAAAGCTTGCAAAAGTGGTCTTTTTCTGGAAAATTGGATAATTCGAAGCTGATAGAGCTTTTTAAAGTTTAGTTTTTAAGTGATATGAAAGAAGACACTCTCAGAAGCTCAGAAAAGTTGATTTTTCCCGAATCGGACCATTTGAACCGAAATTGTGAATTTTTGAAGTTTTCATGTCTCGATTTCTGGCCTGAAATTGTCGGAAATTTAGTTTTTTTAGAGTTTTTTGAGGCTTGATCTTTATTTTATATGAAAGAGGACACTCTAAGGGACTGAGAGAAGTTGATTTTTTCGGAATCGGACCATTTTAACCGAAATTGTGAGTTTTTGAAGTTTACATGTCATGATTTCTGGCAAGAAATTGACGTAAAATAGGAAATTTCGGAACTTTTTAAGGTTTGATCTCTAACCGGTATAAAAGAGGACACTCTAAGGGACTGAGAGAAGTTGATTTTTCCGAATTTGGACCATTTTAACCGAAATTGTGAGTTTTTGAAGTTTTCATGTCCTCATTTCTGGCCTGAAAATGTCGGAAATTTAGTTATTTTAGAGTTTTTTGAGGTTTGATCTTTATTTTATATGAAAGAGGACACTCTAAGGGACTGAGAGAAGTTGATTTTTTTCGGAATCGGACCATTTTAACCGAAATTGTGAGTTTTTTTGAAGTTTACATGTCATGATTTCTGGCAAGAAATTGACGTAAAATAGGAAATTTCGGAACTTTTTTTAAGGTTTGATCTCTAACCGGTATAAAAAGAGGACACTCTAAGGGACTGAGAGAAGTTGATTTTTCCGAATTTGGACCATTTTAACCGAAATTGTGAGTTTTTGAAGTTTTCATGTCCTCATTTCTGGCCTGAAAATGTCGGAAATTTAGTTATTTTAGAGTTTTTTGAGGTTTGATCTTTATTTTATATGAAAGAGGACACTCTAAGGGACTGAGAGAAGTTGATTTTTTCGGAATCGGACCATTTTAACCGAAATTGTGAGTTTTTGAAGTTTACATGTCATGATTTCTGGCAAGAAATTGACGTAAAATAGGAAATTTCGGAACTTTTTAAGGTTTGATCTCTAACCGGTATAAAAGAGGACACTCTAAGGGACTGAGAGAAGTTGATTTTTTCGGAATCGGACCATTTTAACCGAAATTGTGAGTTTTTGAAGTTTTCATGTCCTCATTTCTGGCCTGAAAATGTCGGAAATTTAGTTATTTTAGAGTTTTTTGAGGTTTGATCTTTATTTTATATGAAAGAGGACACTCTAAGGGACTGAGAGAAGTTGATTTTTTCGGAATCGGACCATTTTAACCGAAATTGTGAGTTTTTGAAGTTTTCATGTCCTCATTTCTGGCCTGAAAATGTCGGAAATTTAGTTATTTTAGAGTTTTTTGAGGTTTGATCTTTATTTTATATGAAAGAGGACACTCTAAGGGACTGAGAGAAGTTGATTTTTTCGGAATCGGACCATTTTAACCGAAATTGTGAGTTTTTGAAGTTTTCATGTCCTCATTTCTGGCCTGAAAATGTCGGAAATTTAGTTATTTTAGAGTTTTTTGAGGTTTGATCTTTATTTTATATGAAAGAAGACACTCTAAGGGACTGAGAGAAGTTGATTTTTTCGGAATCGGACAATTTGAACCGAAGTTGTGAATTTTTGAAGTTTTGATGTACTGATTTCTGGCCAGAATTAGGCGGAAATTTGGATATTTCGAAATTTTTTAAGGTTTGATCTTTAACGGGTATGAAAGAGGACACTCTAAGGAACTAAGAAATGTAGATTTTTCTCGAATCGGACAATTTTGATCGGAGTTATGAATTTTTGAAGTTTTTTTGTACTGGATTCTAGCCGGAAATTGTCGGTAAATTGGAAATTTTAGAACTTTTTAAGGTTTGAATTTTAAATGATATGAAAGAGGACACTCTAAGGAACTTAGAAAAGTTCATTTTTCCGGATTTGGACCTTTTGAAGGAGCTTTATGAATTTTCGAAATTTTTATGTACTGTTTTCTGGCTTGATATTGGCGGAAAATTGGATATTTTGTAGCTTACAGAGCTTTTTTAGGTCAGATATGAAAGAGGAAACCCTAAGGAACTAAGAAAAGTTGATTTTTTCGGAATCGGACCATTTGAACCGAAATTGTGAGTTTTCGAAGTTTTCATGTCCCGATTTCGGGCCCGAAATTGTCGGGAAATTGGGTGTTTCGGAATTTTTTAAGGTTAAAGTGATATGAAATGAAGAAGAATCATGATCTCATGTTAAAATTTCTCATTATTAAGATATAATTTTTCCAGAAAAATCCTCTCAAGCGGCTCGCTCCTACTGAACGACGTCACGCCTTCAGATGAGGGGAACTATCAGTGCGTCGTCCATCTGACGTCGTCTTCATCCTCAGCTTCTGCCCAAATCACCACTTGGACATTTCTCAGCAGACGGGCTCAGATCAAGGTCGCCGACCTTTCCAAGTGAGTTTTGAACGATAATGGCATGTTTAATTGAGGTTACCGTTTCATTTTAAAGTTAAAAGGTGACGAAATTGTTAATTTTTGTTGTTCATGGTTCGTTAAAGGGATGCTTTCGGGAGTTAGGGGAAAAAGTGGTCCCTATAGGGGTTTAGGGTCTGACTCCTTAGCCACTAAAGCGGTCCCTACAGGGGTCATGTAGTTGCCAATTTTTGTCATTTCTATACAGTCATAGTGGTCCCTCTAGGGGTTAAGGAGAAAAAAAGAGCCCTTATGGGGGACAAAAAAAGTGGTCCCTCTGGGGTTAAGCGTCTGACTCCTTGAGTGGTCCCTACAGGGTTTTCTCTTTTTTTTTTTGATTCAAAAGAGAAAAAAAGTATTGCTAGCTTAGTGTCCCCTATAGGGGAAGGTAAAGTGGTCCCTGAAGGGAGATTTTCAAGGGCCCCTATAGGGACCACTTTGGAGTTCTCCGCGAAATGCCAAAGTAACCGTCAAATAATGAAAAAGATAACTGAATTTTGGAGAGTCAGAGAAAAAATGTTGATTTTTGGAAAATTGCATCTTCTTGAGATATTTCATGAGATTTTTTTAATTTTTTTGATTTTTTTGCCGCAACGCGACCGTGACGCTCTGAGCCATTCCAAATGCGGCCAAATTTCAAATTAAACTGGGTAAAACACTTTGACAGATCTCTCTGAAAAAAAATTTGAAAAAAATTGAGAAAAATTCAAATTTTTTCTCTGGATTATCCGTGGAGCGCACTTTATCATGCCTAACCATTTTTGACGGCTTTTTTTCAAATCTTATGTATTTCTGATGATTTTTTTATTGTATTTTCCTTAAGAATATGATAATTTCTTCAGATTCGATGAGCAACCTGTCGACAGGAGCTTGAATAAAGGACAACCGACCGCTTTTTATTGTTCAAATGTAAGCTTTTTTTAAAAAAAAACGAAAAAAATCACGAAATTCAGAAACTTCGACCTTCCCCTCGCGTTACCTGGTACCACAATGATAAGCCGATCACGTCTGGACGTGAGTTTTTTGTATTTTTTAAGAAAAAAATGGTAGGATTTGTACTGAATAAAAAAAATTTTTTTGTACAGAAAATTATCCCAAATAGCTGTTTCATCATTTTTATAAAAATTAGTAATGAATTTTTGTTTCAATGGGTCAGGTGTGTGGACTTTGGTACTTTGGTACTAAATTGGTACTTTTTGAGCTATAAAATGAGAGGGTTTGTACTGAAATTTTAAAAAAAGTTATTCAAATTACGGTTTTTAGAGAGTTCCTCGATATCACTGTTTCAAGAATTTTTATAAAATGAACCATGAAATTTAAATTTGATCGAACCTTCTGTTTTTTTATTTTTTTAAGATTCGTGCTTTTCGACCAACATCAGGATAAGTACTGAATTATGAAAAAAAAAAAGTCGCCTAGGGGATTTCCCTAAATGACTGTTTTTCCGTACTTTTTGAGCTGAAAATGGTGGGATTTGTACTGAATAAAAAGTGAATTTATTTGAAGTTACCATTTCTAGAGAATTTCTCGATATCACTGTTTCAAGATTTCAATAAAAGGAATAATGAATTTTTGTTTCAATGCTTCCTCTTCGTCTTCTTAAAATTCTTCTTTTTGAGCTAAACATTTTAGGATTTGTACTGAATAAAAAGTGAATTTATTTGAAGTTACCATTTCTAGAGATTTTCCCTATATCACTGTTTCAAGATTTTTTTATAAAATAAATAAAGAATTTAAAAATTTGATGGACTTCTCTGCGTTTATTTTAAAATTCGTGCTTTTCAAAAAATAATGGGATTTGTACTGAAATATTTAAAAAAACATTTCTATAAAATCCCCCCGTTTGTACGTTTCAAGACTTCTATAAGGTGAATAATAATTTTCAGTTTTGATGATCTTTCTCTCGAAGCGCCTTTTAAGAAAACTTTAATTTATTATTCACCTTTTTTTGCATATTTAACGTTTCGAGCCATTTTTCAGTTTTTCATGTCCCTCAGCTTTTTAAATATCGAATTTTGATCAATTTGTAGCAATTTTGGCTCAAAAAAAGTAAGGTTTTTTTAGTGGTTTTTCCAAGTCATTAAGATCTTCGAAAAATTGGCTCCAGTTGTATTTAAATTTATTTTCTCTTGGAAGAATGCTTCAATTAGTTTTTTCGAGGTCTCTGAGCCTTTAAAAGTTACCTCAAAACGTGAAAAAATTTGTATTGTGTTTGAAAATTCCAATTCCATGAAGTTTTAAGCTACAAATTTTGGAATTTCAGCTTTTTTGAGCTGTGAGGACATCAAAAATCTGGATTTTATCAAATTGAGACCTTTTTTCGAAAACAAGGAAGCGGATTAATATTTTTCCAGCGTTTTTGAACCATAATTCTGCTAAAAATTGTATTTTTTTGGAATATTTTGCAAGACAATTCGAATTTTTCCGTTTTTTCAGCCATTAAAACGGTCGAAATTGGAATTTTATTGGATATAGACTTTTTTTTTCAAAAATGAAGAAGCTCTTGACTATTTATTCCAGCTTATTGAACGTTTAAAACTTCTCCTGAAACGTAGAAAAAGCGGGATTTTGTGGAAAAAGTTAAACTATATCGAAAAACGCGTTTTCGTGAACTTTTAAGCTGCAAAATTTGAAATTTTCCACTTTTTGAGCTGTTTGAACGGACAAAATCCGGATTTTATTGAATGTAGACATTTTCTTTTCAAAAAATGAAGCTCCTAACTGTTTTTTTAAACTCTTCTCACTTCTAAAATTGCCTTGAAACCTAGAAAAAACGAAAATTTCCAGAAAAAAGCCCACAATTCTGCTGAAAAATGTCTTTTTTGGAATATTTTGCAACACAATTCGAATTTTTCCGTTTTTTCAGACATTAAAACGGACGAAATTGGAATTTTATTGGATATAGACCTTTTTTCAAAAATGAAGAAGCTCTTGACTATTTATTCCAGCTTATTGAACGTTTAAAACTTCTCCTGAAACGTACAAAAAGCGGGATTTTGTGGAAAAAGTTAAACTATATCGAAAAATGCGCTTTCTTAGACTGTTTTGCTACAAAATTGTGTTATTTTTCGTTAAATACAAGTTTTTAGAGTTTTTTTTTGAAGTTCAAGTTTTTTTTGAGCCATTCAAACTCTCAAAATCTGAATTTTTAAGCCTTTTTTTTTCAAAAATTGAAGTTTTTTAGCACTTTTCCTAGCTCTTTGAACCTTTAAAAGTTACCTTGAAAGCTAGAAAAAACGAAATTTTCCAGAAAAAAGCCCATAATTCTGCTGAAAAATGTATTTTTTTCGAATATTTCGCTACGAATTACGAATTTCAAAGAATTTAGAGCTTTTTTTCATAGAAAAATGAAGCTTTCAAATGTTTTTTTCTAGCTCTTCTAACTTTAAAATTGCCTTCCAACTCTGGGAAAGACGAAATCGTCCGGAAAAAAATAGCTGAAAAACATTCTTCGACTATTTTGCTACAAAGTTGTGTTATTTTTCGTTAAATTCAAGTTTTGTAAGAGTTTTTTGAGCCCAGACTGTAAATATCTCGATTTTTCAGAAAATGAAGTTTTCAACGGATTTTTCTAGATCTTTGAACCTTTAAGAAAGTTACCTTGCAATCCAAAAAAAAAACGGGATTGTCCTTAGAAAACGGGTAATTCGGCTGAAAATTGCATTTGGCCGTTTCGGGCCATCACCAATTCAAGGCCAAATCTCTAGAGCCCCCCATTCAGGGGCAAAATGGCCGTAGAAGGGTCCTCAAGTTGGTCCGTTTCGATCTGAGATCCCCATCTTTGATAAGCGTCCGCTTGGGGTTCGGCCAGCGTTCCATTCACAGATTGACCCTTTCCGAGGGGTGCGTCTTAATTTTGGCAACAGGGTTAATTAATTAGAAGGTTTTTATGAGGATTTGAGGAATGTACTTTAAATTTGAACGCAAAAAATCGAGAAAATAGGATAAAAATGTTAGGAACTCCAGAGTGCTCACTATAGAGGTTAGGGGTCGAATTAGTGGTCCCTATAGGGGTTAAGGGTCGAAAAAGTGGCCCCTATAGAGGTTAGGGTGTCGAAAAAGTGGTCGAGGGACCACTGCGTAGTTTCTAAGTAATCCAAAAAAATTATGAAAAAAAGTTATTTTAAGTTCAGAGTGGTCCCTAAAGGGGACCTTCCAAGGGCAACTAGAGGGACCACTCTGGAGCTCCTAAGGATTCAAAAAAACAGCCGCTTCGGGGATGCGCTTTAATTTTGGGAAGAAAGATAATTATTTTAAAAAAAAGATATGTCTTTCAGTTCAAAAAAATCGAGAAAGAAGCTCGAAAATGAGATAGGTTCTTCACTTTCCAAAATTTGGTTTGAGATATTTTTGGATTTTTTTTTTCTTTCAATGTAAAAGGTTAGGCATTTTTGATCGAAAAAAGTCATTTTTTTATTTCAAAGAAAAAAAATCCTTTACTCATGTCTTTACTGATGTACACAGTACAAGAAGTGTTTGAAAAACGCGATTTTTAAATTTTCTTCCAGAAAAAATTTCTAGCCACGTTTTTTCAGCCGAATTCCACGTCCTTCCGGTAACCAATACCCTGGAAATCAGTTCGACCCAACCACGACACGAAGGAGTTTACAAGTGCGCGATCGAAGGGGCCGGCAAACGGCGGGTCAGCCAAACCGCCCGACTCACCCTTACTTCAGGTCCCGATCCTCCCGATTTTCTCCCGATTTTTGAGTTGATTTCAGAAGAAACAACGCAGGATTTGACCTTCATCTCGACTCCCAAGCAGCAAAATGCGGAAGAAGGCAAGGATATTCTTCTGGAGTGTCTGGCGACGTCGAAAAATCGGCCCGAAGTTCGGTGGTTAGTGAGAGGGAAAGGAAAAAAGGCATAGCGACACAAAAATTGACTCAAAGACACAAAAAAGGGTCTAAAAAGACAAAAAATGACCCATAGGACACAAAAATAACTCAAAAACGGATACAGGGGCACAAAAAAAAAACCCAAAAGGCCCAAAAAAGTGGCACAAATTCACAAAAAGTACCCAAAAACGCGAAAAAAGACCCAATAGACGCATAAAAAAGACTCAAAAACTCAAAAAAATACACAAAGACACGAAAAACCAAAAAATGACCCAAAGACACGAAAAAATGAACCAAAGACACAAAAAATACACAAAAAAGTTACAGGGACACGAAAAAATGACCCTAAAGTCGCAAAAAGACAAAAAATGACACAGGTATACAAAAAATGCCTCATAAGTGGCGCAAATAAGACCCAAAAGTCGTAAAAATACCTAAAAGACACGTAAAAAGACCCAAACTCAAAAAAAAAAGACACAGGGACACAAAAAATGACCCAAATACACAGAAAGGAAAAAAAGACCTCAAAAAGACAAAAATAATAATTTTACGTCTGAATTTCTTGTAGGACCTGAAAATTAGACAACTAGATCCAGTTTTGTACGCTGAGTTCAACCTCAAAAATTTCCAAACAGTTCTATGAAAATTGATACGGTAATACTCCGTTCAAAACTCTTTTTGAGTTATTTTAAGAAGTAACTTTTTGAGCTTTTAAGTCGTTGAAAAATTAAAAAGATCATTTTCATAAGTGCGCAGTAAAAACTTCATGCACAGCCAAAGTCCAAACGACCTCAAACAGGCCTTAAAAGAATAGTCTAAAGTTCCTTTTTGACTTCCCAAAAAGGTGTCAGAAGTTTCTTGGAATCTACTTCTTCCCGCCTTATTTCTTTACCTTAAAATTTATACAAAGTCCAAACCGTCTCAAAAAGGACTTTTGGAAAAGAATGTCTCTAAAAGGCTTCAAAGGTACCTTCTTTCTAGACTTTTTTCTGAAAAGGGCCTTTTAAGGAGGAATAAAATAATGAGGCGAGGAAAAAAAAAAATGAAGTTCCGAGAAACCTTTTTAGGGACTCAAAAGAGAAGCTTTAGACTCTCCTCTTTATGGTCGTTTAAAATTTTCCTCGTTTAGAACCCGTCTTCGGGACTTCAACCTTTCCAGTTTACTAGGAATTGATGTTTTTTGAATAATGTCTGCCGTCTTCTAGGCTGAAAGACTCCCGACAATTAGTTGTCGATGGAGCGCATGTGCGTCGAGTTGGAATTTCTTCTCTTCTGATCCGCGCGGCGACCGTTGAGGACAGTGGGCTGTATACTTGTCGGGTCAGCGATCCGCTCGACTCCCTGGATAAGTCTGTGGCCGTTTCTGTTCAAGGTATCGCAAAAATGGAATTTCAGATAGCTATGTGAATTTTGGAACTCTTTGATATTTATTTTACTGGGGTACATAGAACATTAGTTGCTATTAAAGGGACATAGCTACAGAGAAAAATTTAGGAGGGCCAGGAAATCCAAGGTTTTATATCTCCTTAGGGTTCAGATGTATTTTTAAGCTCTCTGGATCTAACCAAAGACTTTTTGAGACCTTTTAGTAGAGTTATAACGACTTGAACTTATCATTTTCAAGGAGAAAAGGGATTTTTGACCTTTTTAGGCGTTAAAATGACAAAAAGTGTGACGTCTGAGCCAATCTCTAGAAAATTCTTTGTTTTTCTCCTTTTTAGGCCTGAATTTCAAGGAAATATTTTTACCTTTTAAGAAATCAAGGAAAAGAAGGAATAGTTTGAAAGTCTTCCACATCTATAGCTTCATCCTAAAGCAAGTTAATCCATCATTTATCCAATCAATCACTCAATCAGTCCTCTGTTTCGTACACACGTCGGACAAATTCTGTTGGGATGGGGGGAGGGGGAAGAAGGGAAATGTTAGATCAGTGGACTGGAAAAAAAGTTGGGATTGTTCGAATTTTTTTAGAATCATTTTTTTCTGGTATCAAGTCGATTAGTTGTTATATCAGCATGAGGATTTTGAAGAAAAATACGATTTTTGAAAGTTTTTGATGATTTTTTGATGTAAAATGGAATCATAGTTGTATCAGCAAGAAGTCTTGGAAAAATTGGGATTTTTTGAACTTTTAAAATCAATTTACAACGTCAAATCAACAGAGGGACTTGAAAAAAGTTGGAATTTTCGGTTTTTTAAAATTATTTTTGGTGTCAAATCGTAATATTGTTATATCAGCATGAGGATTTTAAATAAACATTTGGAATTTTCGGAAGTTTTAATCATTTTTTTGGTGTCCAATTTAATCTTTATTACATCAGCATGAGGATTCGCAACAAAAATACAATTTTCGGAAATTTTCGATCATTTTTTGATGTAAAATCGGCAGGAGGACTTGAAAAAAGTTGGATTTTTCGGGTTGTTTGATCAATTTATAGTTTTTTTTTTATATAAGGTATCATTGATGTAATTTTCAATAGGCTAGCACTTTGAAAATTTCAAAAAATCGAGTCAAAATTAACTTTTGAGATGGGTTAGGTACAAATTTCTGACTTAAAAAAATCATTTTTTTGAAAAAAATTGAGAAAAAAAGTGAGAAAAAAATGAACGTTTTAGAGCTTAAAAAAATGGTTGAAAGTCATGAAATTCACCTGAAAAATTAGAAAAATTCATGTATTAATGGTCATTATTTGAGTCGATAAGTGACTATTTCAGAAGAGAAATTTTTCAATTTTTTTGTTAAAAAAATATTGAAATTTGAGGTGAAAGCTTAAGATATTTATAGAATTTGAGGTGAAGCTTAAGATATTCCATAGAAATTTTCTACTAGTACTCATTTATTCAAGAATTTCATAAAATTTTGGTTATCTGATGAATTTTCAGCTTCCCCGCACATAACCACGAGACCACAGTCGAAAATTGCCCTAGAAACGGCGGATGTTGAGGTTTTTTCCATTTAAAATATACAGAAGAAGGAATTATACAGTTGGAATGCCTGGCCTCCGGACAGCCCCCCGCCAAAGTTTCCTGGTACAAAAATGGCGAATCGATCATCGCCAGCGAATATTTCGTCGTCGAGCCCAATAAGTGGGTACTTTTCAAGCTTCTGTTGGTTTTTATGGGATAAATGAGCTTTCCCAATGGATTTGGAAAACTCCCGACCGCACTGGGAATGGCTTAACGCGTTGCGGTCGCCTTATGAAGCTTCGTTTTGAGATGCTGACGAGCGCAAGCCGATTTTGGTCGGGCGCAAATTCAAAATAAGCCTTGAGCCATTCCCCATGCGACCAAGAGAACGCAACGCGTTGCGGTCGCGCTGCGTTCCGAGTTCCAAGGCTTGTCTTTAGATGCAAAAAAGTGCAAGCCGATTCTGATCGGGCGCAAGTTCAAATTATCCTTTGAGCCATTCCCCACGCGACCAAGGGCCCGATAAGATTCTTTGATTAACTCCGTTCATAACGACTATAAATCCTCTGGTCGCACTGGGAATGGCTTGACGCGTTGCGGTCGCGCTGCGTTCCGAGTTTCATGGCTTGCCTTTAGATGCCAAAGAGCGAAAGCCGATTTTGGTCGGGCGCAAAATCAAAATAAGCCTTGACCCATTCACCGTGCGACCAAGGGCCCGATTATTTCAAGAATTGGCCCAAAAATTTTTTTGGTTGCATTGGGAATGACTCAATGCGTTGCGTTGGATGCCGTTGAGCGCGTTGAAAATCAATATAAGCCTTGAGCCATTCCCCATGCGACCAAGGGCCAAATAATTTCAAGAATATTCTTGAAATTAAAAGAAAAATCATGACAAATTGATTTTTTTGAGGATTTGTTCTCAGAAAAGGATAAAATACGTGTTTTTTTAAGGCATTTTTTTCCCATTCAGATTACGAATCCTGGGACTCGTTCGGGCGGACCAGGGCGTTTATCAGTGTCTGGCCGAAAATGAATACGGCAGCGAGCAAGCTTCTTCTCAGCTTTTGATCGATGCTGCAGGTTCTTTTTGCCCCTTTTTTTCAAATTTAAATTTTGAAAAATTTCGGTTTTTAAATTAGATTCCCGTTTCAGACTTTTTATCTATCCTTAATTTTTCATTTCAACCTGCTCCTCATTTTTGGTGGTATGAAATTTTCAATCCTGTCCTCATTTTTGGTGGTATGAAATTATTTGTTAGTAAAGGTTTAGAGGAAAAAAAAGAGTAAGTGCGCTCTATTGACAAATGTAGGTCGCAAAAAGGTTTTTCTGTGGAATTTCAGAGTGTTCCCTATAGGGGCAACCTTAGGGGCCCTTGGAGGCCCTCTAGGGACCACTAAAGATTGAAAAAGTGGCCCCTATAGGGGTACTGCTGCTCGATAATGGTTATGAACTCTGAGCGAAGAAGCATTTCCATAGGAAAAATTGAAAACATAAGCTTTTTTTGAATGAAATAGAGAGACCCCTATAGGGTCCACTTGAGCTTTAGGGGTTAAGGGGTCAGACCCTGAATCCCTATAGGGACCACTTAGATTTTTCCCCTTTAGGGATCACTTTTTCGTCTCCTAAAAAAACCCTATAGGGACCGCTCTGTTTGGTGATTATTTGAAAAAAAGATTCCAAGCTAAAAAAAAATCTTGGAGTCTGACCTGTCTGCGCTCTCTCTTCCCTCGCCGCCGAGGTCAGAGAAAAATGAAAATATCATGTAATTATGAGAGAGTTTTGCCAGACAATAACTGGAAACCATGACAGATCCGATGTCAACCTCAACTCGAAGGCTTTTTTTCCCCGAAAAACCGCCAAAAGTTTCCCTTCCAACTAGTCAGCGGCCATTTGCTGATGGTTTGTTGGTCTTTCGGCTGAAAATTAACTTTTTTCTTTGGTTTTTCTAACGTTTTTTCCTCCACTTTTGAGTTCAAAAAGACAGGAATTTTGAGCCTGAAAAAAAGGACTTTTTTCACGGCTAGTGCGCTCCATTGAGAAAGTCCCTTCAAATGAGCAGAAAATCCTGAATTTTGAGAGATTTATCCGTGGAGCACACATGTGCATAATCACTGTGGCTGGAATTTCCATTCTTGAAAAAAAATTTTTTTTCGAACTTTTTTCCACCACATTAGATACCGGGGGTCCTTCTTAGGGTAAAAAAAATATATCGGAATTTCCCCCATAAAAAAAAAGTTTTTGACGTTTAGTGCGCTCCATTGAAAACGTTTTCGTGAAATGACAAGAAAATCCTGGATTTTGATAATTTTGTCGGTGGAGCACACATGTGCAGAATTAATGTGGCTGAAAATTCCATTTATTTTATTTTTTATATTTTTTTAACCCTTTCTGCATTTTCTGAATTTTTTTCGATGACAAGTTTTTTTCACACGAGTGCCCCCCAGTGTTCTGCTAATCACTAACAGTCTTTCTGAGTTTCTTTGTATTTTAATTTTTAATTCGAAACTGAAGTTGGGAAAAAAACGGCTTTTTTTGATATTCACATTTGAAATTTCATCAGAAAAATAATATTTTAAGATTTTGTTTTTTTGAGAACGAAACATTAATAAAATTCCTTTTTTTGAAAAAAACCTTTAAAAAAATTATTTGAAACGTATGAGAAGTTGGTGTTACGGGCATTTTTGAAATTCTAGATTCGTCAATTTTTTTTGAAGGAGAGCGTGGAAAAAAATTATTTAAATATTAAAAATCACCTTATTGATTTTTTTGAGAAGAGATTGTATTTAAAAATATTGGTTTTGATGAATTTTAACCGTTTTTTTGGTGGAAAGTTGGTTTTAACGTGTTTCTTTGCTATTAAAAAAATGAACCTAACTATTTTTCCGATGATTTTCAATGATTTATAAGAACTTATTGGGTTTTTCTTAGTTGAATTAGAGAAATCAGATTGAAAAATATGATTTTTAATGAACTTAATTTGGTTTTTTTGAGTGTTTCTTTGCTACTAAAAAAAGAACCTAACATGATTTTGAAAGTTCTCCAGAGAAAAATAAGTGATATTTTTTTGAAGATTCCTCGTCTCTCGCCGCTTCTTCAGGACAACCCGTCGTTTCTTCGCCGCCCCTCGGCTTGAGAACCACTTCTATCGGTATTTTATTCATTTTTTGAATGTTTTATCCTGTTTTTTAATGTTCAGAATGAGCATCATTTAATTAAAATAAGTTAAAAATTTCTATAAAAATCATTTTTGGGACTTTTTAAGAGCTTAGATCATTTTTTTTACACTTTGGGACTTGAAAAAAACCAATAAAAAGTTATTCGATGCTTTAATTTTGAGATTTTTTTCGGAATTTTCGTGATATAAATATATTGGAAATGTTTTTTTGCCAACCCCTGAAATTACTGAAACTGAGAAGTCATGAAAAAAAGAGAAAATGCATTTTTTTATCACTAAAGGATGGGATTTTTGATAAGTTATGATGGAAAAAAATCGAAATCAGATCGAAAAATCGCGTTTTTTTCTACAGGATCTGCAACGTTTAGACATTTTTTTTCTTTGGAAACTAGATCTCTTTTTTTCAAATTTTTCATGATGAATATTATTCATTTCAGCTTAAAAAAATATGTAAAAAAAGTATTTTTTTTATAGATGAAAAATATAACAAAAAAACCAAGCTTTAAGAGTTTTCTAAGGATCTTCAGAAGAATTATTAGAACTTTTTGAAAGAAAATTCAATTTCCTAACTTCAAAAATCGACATTTTTCCAGGAAGCCGGTTCATCGCGTTGGTTTGGGACAAGCCTCTTGAGGGAAATGGAAATATCATGAGATATCATGTCTTTTTCCGAGAAGCTGACAGCGATCGGTTGGTTTTAAACGGAAAATAGGTTTTCAGAAGGTTTTAGAAAATTTTTAGACGATTTTAAATGCTGGAAATGAAAAATGAGGAAGGTATCTTGTTGGAAACTAAAAAAAATATAAAAAGTTATAAAAAAAAGCTTACCAGGAGACCCTTAGAAAAATTTTGAACCTAGAAAGGCAGAAATGGGAAAGATACTTCATCTTAAACTACAAAAAAAAGGAAAATCGAATAAAGAGTGGATTTTATAAAAAAACAATTGGTAAAAAAATATGTTTTATCAAAAAAATAACTGTAACAAAAATTGAGCGCATTTGATGTTTTTTTCCAGAATATATTTTTTTAAAACTATTATTCTCACCATTAATTGAATTTCCGACACCGGAAGAAAGGTTAGGAAAAGTTTTATAAGGCAAATGATCCTTTTTGGAAACTGTTTCAGCTGAATTTTTTTCATCGATTTTCAAAAAAATTTAATGTAGACATTGTAAAAAAATCCCATTGGAAGCCTTTCCTTGAAGCTTCTGATGAACTGCCAAAGTTTATTTCAATGTTTTTCCAGGGAACGAATGATGAACTCGTCGACTTTAAGTGTTACAATCACTTCCCTGCAACCCTCAACGGCCTATATTCTGCGGGTTGCCGCAGAAAATGAAGCCGGGATGGGAAAAATGAGCGAGCCGCTCAAAGTTTCCACCAATAAAGAACGTGAGGAGAAGTTTCTGGATTTCTTTTTCAAAAAAACGAGTTATATGAAATTTCAAATAAGGCCAGAAAGTTTGGAGTAAAAAAGACACAAATTGAAAAAAAAAAAAAACGTGACAAGATTTTTCAAAAGCGATATCGCTGGCGCCATCGTTAAAGTACTGCGTTTTTAGCCGCGTCGGTCTTTTTCTTGGCGCGATATCGCGTTTTGCAAATTTTTATCATTTTTTTAAGTGCCTGAGAAATGCGGGAGAAACGCGATGTCGCGCCAAGATCTCGTATTTTGAAAATTTTGAAAATTTGTTTGAATTGTTTGAGAAAAGCGGGAGAAACGCGAGAGAAACGCGATGTCGCATTTTTCGCGCGCGACGCATTTTGAGAATTTACAAACTTTGTTTGGAGTGCGTAAAAAGTGCGAGCGAAATGCGATGTCGCGCCAAAATCTCGCATTTTTCTAAGCACGATTTCGCATTTTGGGAATTTTCAAGTTTTGTTAATAGTTCGTAAGAAGCGCGAGAGAAATGCGATGTCGCGCCAAGATCTCGTATTCTTTTAAATTTTCACATTTTTTGGGAGTGCGTCAGAAAAGCGAAAAAAACGCGATGTCGCGCCAAAATCTCGCAATTTGAGAATTTGAAAATTTCGTTCAAAGTGTGTGCGTGCCCGCGGCTACAAAACGATAACACTTGCGATATCGCCAATATTCCGCCAACGATATCGCTTTTAGCTCGCGCCGGAAGTTATCTTTATCGTGGTTGCATATAAGAAAAAAATGTTCAGAAGCGGTCCCGGGACGTGTCACTTCCTTGATAGCCACTGCCCTCGGACCACAAACGATCGAAGTTCGATGGGATCCGCCGGCGGGAGGACAACCAGCCCAGCGATATCGCCTCTTCTATTCGCGCGATCCGCCCGAGGAGAACGACAAGGAAACGCAGATCACTGTTTGTTCTTGCCGTGAAAAATAATGGTCATAGCCGATTCTAGACCGCCGCCACTGTCTACACTCTGCATGGAATGGACAAATACACGAGTTATTTGGTCCGAGTCGAGGCGGACGGAGAAAATGGCAGTGGGCTGAGCAGTGAGCTTGTCAAGGTACAGGGAAAGTGTGAAAAAATCGCCGCGAAAAAAAAAAATGACGACAAGAAAAAAAATGGTATAGACCTGGAGGGTATAGCCGCCGTAGGAAAAATTAATGAAAAATGAGTTGTGAAAAAATAGCCGCGGCTTCCGCGCTCCACGGCTAATTTTGAGCCAAGAAGCTGGAAAATTCTAGTTTTTTACCTGAAAAAAGATGGTATGAAAAAATAGCCTCGTTAGTCTTCGATTTCGCGCTCCACGGCTAATTTTGAGCCAAGGGACGAGGAAATTCTAGTTTCATTAGTACCAAGTTTACAGTGCTTCAAGATTTTCCTAACAAGCTGTGAACCAAAGAAAAATCGTTTAAAAATCCCTAAAACTACAAAAATCTGCAAGTTAGCCTTGGAGCTCATTTACACCAAAAAAGACGGCTGTTTTTGAATATTCAATAAACTGATGATGATAAGGATGAAATATATTTTGCCATGAGACACAAAAAAGGATGTTTCAGTTTTTGATTTTTCCAGGTGAGAACCTTCTCCGACGAGCCTTCTCTACCGCCCCAAAATATCAATGCGGAAGCCGAATCTTCAACAAGTATCAAGGTCACCTGGTCCCAACCGGAGGATGAGACCGTCAATGGTGAAATCACCGGATATCGGTCCGTTTTTGAAGAAAAATGGGAAAAATTCAAATGCAGGAGTGGAAACTGTACTATACTAGAAAAGTGCAAAAGTACTCAAAAAGAGAAATTTTTTGGGATTTTTCGGTTCTCAAGTTCTGTAAGAATCAGTATAGCCAATTCACGGGAGGCGTGGCCTGTCTGTTTTTGAAGAAAAATTGAAAAAATGCAAATTCAGAAGTGGAAGCTGTACTACACTAGAAAAGTGCAAAAGTACCCAAAAAACGGAATTTTTGGGATTTTTCGGTTCCTATTCATCCCAAGTCCTATAAGAATCAGTATAGCCAATTCACTGGGGGCGTGGCCTGTCTGCGCTCTCCACCATCCAGACACTATTTCTTTCCTTATCGTGTCAGGACCCGTTTTTCGTAGTTCAAGCTATACTTTTAACTAACTTCAAAATGTTTCTTATGATTTCCCATTTTCAGGCTGAAATACAAGACGAAGGCTCGTGGAAGCAAGGGAAATACTCTGGTGATCGACGCGAATGTCCACGAGTACACGATGGCCGGATTGGAGCCCCACACTCATTATCTGATCCGGATGGCCGTCGTTAATCATGTAATCACTTTGTGACGTCATGTGAAACAAGCGTGAAAAACAGAAAATATTAAAGGCGCATGTTCAATGAGTTATGAGACGGATCGTTTCTCATTTGAAAAAAAAAAAACGCAATTTTTCTCGTGCCGTGTTCAAAGTGATTCCGCGAAATTCAAAATAGCCGCCAAAGATTGAAAAATAAAACTGAATTTCGAAAATTCAGAGATGATTTTAAATTTCGCGAAAATCATTTCGAACACGGAATGTGCGAGAGCGCCGCAGTGCATGCACACTAAACACTGAACTTCACGGAAACAATAAAAAAAAACGCCATGTCCCAAAGTTCCAAAAATCAAGATTTCTGTCCCTGGTTTCTCATCCATTTTTCCTGTTCCTTGACTAGAAATTATCCATTTAACAAGGAAATTCCTTTTTTTTTCGCCGAAAACTTCTTGAAAAGTCTAACCTGCAAAACTTCTTAGTTTTTGAGAAAACAAGGGCTGAAAGCTTGGAAATAGCTCCTAGCAGGTTGAGGCTTTTATCTGAAACATCAACCGTCAAAAAACCCTTGTGAACAAAAAAGAAGGTGTTGTTTCAGAACGGAACTGGCCCCTACTCGGATTGGCTCTCCGTAGATACTCCAGCTCAAGACAAGGAAGAGCGACTTCTAAGCGCCCCGAGAGAAATTCGGCCTCACGCCGGAATGGACTACATCGTCATTTCTTGGCTCCCGCCAGCCGATGAGACGAATCTCGTCAGGGGGTATCAGGTTAGTATTGCTCCAGAAGTCTGATATCTGAAAAGATACGGTATCTCAAAAGTTTTCTACAGTAACCTCTAAAACAGTCGTAAATTTCATTACACATCGTTCCGCCTAGATGTTAGTCAGACAAAAAAGTACCGTAACCCAACAGTGCTCCACAGTAACCCATGATGTCACGTACTGTAAAATTTACCAAAATCCCATTACCAATCGATTGGTATACATAATGACTGGGAAAAACTGATTGGTCTTCGAATACGCAGCTGGTCTACCGTAACCTGGCTACAGTAGGATCGAAAATCTTCAAATTTAGATTATTTGGGCTTTGGTGCTTTTTAGATGAACTGTCTAAAAAAAAAGCGCAAAAGAAAGTACCGTATCCCAAAAGTTTTCTACAGTTCGTTTAGATATCACCTGTCTACCGTAACCTAGCTACAGTATGATCGAGAATCTTCAAATCCCGATTATTTGGGGCCTTGTCGTACCTGACATTAGTTCAATGACATGAAAGTACAAAAGAAAGTACCGTATTCCAAAATTTTTCTGCAGTTCGCCTAGATACTATTCGTCTACCATAACCTGGCTACAGTGTGATCGAAAATCTTCAAATTCCGATTATTTGGGGCCTTGGCGTACTTACGTCAGTTAAATAATCTAAGAACGTACAAGAAAAAATACCACCTTTCAACCGTAACCTGGCTACAGTAGAAAAATCTTTCAGATCGGTTGGGGCCTCGGCGTGCCTGACGTCGAAGTGGAACGAGTTGGAGCTTCGGTGATGCAGCACAAGATCGTCCGACTTCATCCGGGACGCGATTATGTCGTCTCCCTCCGCGCTTTTAACAGCCAAGGACAGGGATTCCCGATCTATGAGACTGTGAGGTGAGGAAATGATGTCTTGACACGAAAAATGACTTTTTTGCTCTTGGTTACTGTATCCAAAGTTTAGAGGGTTCTAGAGAGTATAGTTAACTTGTTTTTGAACCACAGGAAACTGCTTTGAAAAAGAAAAGTTTCCATACCATTTCTGACGTTTGCCTTTAGAATGTCTGACCTGTCTGGACTCTCTTTTGTCTAACCAGGAAAGATGAATGACGAGAGTAAAGAGAGTGCAGACAGGTCAGAGTATTTCATGTCGTGAGCTGTAGAGGTTTGACTACGAGAAATGTAGGTACAGAATGAATAAGGTTCAAAGTCGAAAAAATGAGTCTTGAAGCGAAAATGACCTTTTTGTTCTTGCTTACTGTATCCCAAGCTCTAGAGAATGCGGTCAGCTAGTTTTTGAACCGCGGAAAGCTGCTTGGAAAGTTGGAACAAGCTTTTTTTGTCACACAAAACTTTTTATGTATACCAAAAAACTTTCTGACCTGTCTGGACTCTCTTTTGTCTAACCAAGAAGAAGAACATCGAGATGAAAGAGGGCGCAGAGAAGTCAGACAAGCTATAGAAATTTTTGGCATTTTAGTGTCATTTTCGATGAACTGCGGAAAACTGTAGTGGCCACTCAAGTGGCTCTCCTAGGACTACTTGGAGAGGACACTAAGGTGGCCACTTTAACTTCTACTATAGAAGTCATTTTTTTGGGTAGTAGTTTGAGTAGCCTGGTAGTACCTTTCAGACTTCTAAAGGTCCCTAAAGCTCCCAGAATTGCAATTTTTCAAGGACCCTGTCCCGAGAATCGACCCTGATGACTGAGGAAGATGATCACGACGTGATGCTCGACGGAAACGGGGATGTCTCGACTCCTCTTGCTGTCAGAGCTGAAACTCTCTCTTCAACTTCGATCCGAGTTTCCTGGACCGAAAGCGACCAGAACGCATTCAACACCCTTTACACTGTCCGCTACAGTACCAGGTTGGGTCTTGAGGCGTTCATTTCAGTCAAAATTCGAACCGTGTTACTTCTAAATGACCTTGAATCTCCACCCCCCAAAATGTATCCTATTCATTGAAACTTCCTCAGTGTCGACGGCAACCAACAACGCTACGTGAACACTTCGGAAACGTGGGTGACGATCGAAAGTCTTCGGCCGGCGACCGAGTACGAATTCGCCGTCAGATCCGTCGCCGGCGGCTTCAGCACCTGGAGTCTCGCCACTAGGAATCGGTAGCAACAGAAATATATAGTTCATGGAATAAATGATCCAGAACGAGCTCCGCGACGCCTTCGTCAGCTCCTAGAGACCTCACGGTCCTTCCGGCGGAATCTGGAGATCCTCATTCGGTTTCGCTCCATTGGCAGCCGCCCAAGTACGCCAATGGCGACATCGAAGGTGAGCAACTACCTGTCTTTCAAAGAAATTTTGAAAAAAGGAGAAAGTTCGAAGCTTTTACTAGCTTAGTCCTTTCCTTGGACACTTCTGAATTTTCCAGGATTCTTTGGGCTTGTAAAAAATCCAGAAAAGGATAGGAATTCGGAAGTTTTCTCTTAAGGGATTACTTGGATCTTAGAAGACAGTCCTTGGCCTTTTTCTCAATAGTTATTTTCACAAAAAGTGGCCACTTGAGGGTTTTTGTCTTCCAAAGAGACTGGTAAGTGCTCAGTGCTCTTGAAAATTCAAAGAAATTGGAATTTTCCCCTCAAGTGGCCTCTTGGAGCTTCAAGGGTATATTTAGATGATTTTTTCGGTTTTCTGGATCTATCATTCAAGGTTTTCAGTACTAAAGATGATTCAGTTCAGTCAGCTCAAGCTTGAGAAAATATTTGTAGATGGTTCTCACTAGAAATTCTGAAGTTTCCTCTTAAGTGGTCACTTGGTTCCTTGATGACATTTTTAGACGGCCCTTGGCTTTCAATAGCTTTGGAAAAAAAAATCATTTAAGGGGCCACTATTTGGTAAGATCTCATCAATTCTTGTAATTTTTAGAAAAAAAAAAGGAAATTGAATGTTTCCCCTCAAGTGGCCTCTTAGAGCTTCAAGGGTATATACAGATGATTTTTTAGGTTTTCTGAAGAGACCCCAGTACTAAAAATGTTCCTCGAGCTTGGGAGAATATTTGAAGATGGTTAGCCAACTTTTCAGAGTACTTGATCTACTACACGGACCGTGAGTCATTGGCCGACAAAGACTGGATCATCAACTATGTGGGCGGCGAGAAATTGTCCCACCAAGTGAGCAATCTCCTCCCCAAGGCCAGCTACTTCTTCAAGATCCAGGCTCGGAATGAGAAAGGTATGAGGGGGAAAAGATCAAAATTTCAACTTTACAGAAGAAAAAGATTGATTTCTTGAGTTTTTCTACCAAAAAGCTACCGTATGCCGATTTCGCTTCGAGACCTGTATTTTTATCTCAAAGCGCAAAAAAATATTTAAAGTAGGATTTTTCCTGGGCATTTCATCACCTTGTCACGTTTTTATCTACCGAAAAGAAATATTATACTTTTTGTGCAAATTCCGCTGTGTTTTTGCATTTTTAGCGGAAAATAAAAGGTGTACGGTAGCTTTTTTTCAGCTGTGCTTTAAAATTTTGACCATCTGATTTTTTGGGCCAAAACTTTGAGAATTGATCAATTTTTCAACTGACCCAGCGTGTGAATTTTTTTAAAATTCACTATAGGTCCGAATCTTCGAAAATTAGAGAGTACTGACAAATAGGAGGGTGTTTAGAGAAATAGAAAAAAACTGCTCTCTCAATTTTGAACGCTCTCTAACTTCCAGCGATGTAGATAAAACTGAAACATTACGAGACGCTTAGGGGGGAGGGGGGTTACGGTAGCTGTTTTTTAGCTGTGTTTTAAAATTTTGACCATCTGATTTTTTGGGCCAAAACTTTGAGAATTGGTCAATTTTTCAACTGACCCAGCGTGTGACTTTCAGAAATTGAGATACGCTCAAAATCAAAGTTAGAGAGCACTGAAAAACAGGAGAGCGTTCAGAGAAATAGAAAAAAACTGCTCTCTCAATTTCAAACGCTCTCTAACTTCCAAAGATGTAGGCAAAATTGAAAAATTAAGACTTTTTACTATGTCCCAAGCGTGACCCAACCAAGGCCCAACTTTCCAGGCTACGGCCCTTTCTCGGCGACCCACGCCTACACTCCGTCTGGCGGAGTCGTCCTTTCGGATTCCGCTTCGAGAGATCGAAATTCGAAAACGAAGGGAGCTGGAGGGTTCTCGGCCCATTGGCAGAACCTCGGAGATTTTGTAACCAATAATTTTCCACTGGTCATTGCGGTCGCCGCGATTCTGGTCGCCTGTCTTCTGGGATGTGTCCTCGTCTTTGTCTGCTGTCGGAAGAGGTTCGGTTTTTGGGCTTCTTGATTTTCTGTGGATGGAGATTTGGTAGACTTTCTGTAGACTTTCTGTAGATCGTTAGAGTAGGAAATTCAGAAGTTTCGAGAAATATTTTTAAACTGGTTTTAGGTTTTTAGGTTTTCATATGAATGATAGAATAGCTTGAAGAAACGACAGAGTGGTCCCTATTGTAGTTAGGAGAAAAGACAGCTCCTCTAAGGACGAAAAAGTGGTCCCTATAGGGGCTCACATGTCAGGATCTGACTCCTTAGCTCTAAAAAATTAAGTGATCCCTTTAGGGATTATGGGAAAAATACTGCCCTTAAGGGACAAAAAAGGGTCCCTATAGGGGTTTGGATCTGACATCGGAGACCCTAAAGCTCAAGTTATCCCTACAGGAGTTAGGGGAAAAGACAGATACTCTAGAGACGAAAAAGTGGTCCCTATAGGGGCTCACATGTCAGGATCTGACTCCTTAGCTCTAAAAAATTAAGTGATCCCTTTAGGGATTATGGGAAAAATACTGCCCTTAAGGGACAAAAAAGGGTCCCTATAGGGGTTTGGATCTGACATCGGAGACCCTAAAGCTCAAGTTATCCCTACAGGAGTTAGGGGAAAAGACAGATACTCTAGAGACGAAAAAGTGGTCCCTATAGGGGCTCGAGATCTGACCCCTGAATATTGATATTTCTCAAGTTGAGCTATGAAAAAAGTTTTAAGCTAGCAAATTTCATTTTTTTTTTCTTTACCTTTACCCTCTTTTTAAGTACTAGAACCGTTAATAAACCCCTACCAAATCCAGATCGAAGAATGGCTACACCTCTGGCAAGAAGACGAGCACGACGAATCATGGAGCTGGAGGACCGGCAACCGATTTGTGGATCAATCCGAATGGGACTCATATGAGGGCTGGAGGTTCTTTTTTCTTCATATTTGTATGCCTGACCATTTTACAACTTTTTCAAACCTTCTCGATTTTCTCAAAAATAGTCCTTCTTTGCGATCTCTGCGGGTCTCTCATGTTGACGTGCTATTTTCATGTTTCTCTGACCTCACCGGTTTCAGAAACCAGTCCGCAGTTTAGAGAGCACGGTGAACTTGGAGGGAGCAGAATATTACTCTCCTCGTTCTATACACTGTCTAAGGATCTGCGCGCATAGAGAACACGGTAAACTTGGAGGGAGCAGACTCTCCACGTTTCACACACTGTCTAAATAGGTCCTCAGACAGTTTGTAGAACGAGGAGGGTACATGTCTGGTCCTTCCAAGATTGCCATACTCTCTAATGCGCGCTACCCTGCCTTTTTTCTAACGAGGTGAGGGAACAGAGAGACGCAGACACTCGAAAATCATCCATTTGGTGACAAGCTTGCGCCCGAGTCATTTTGCATGTCGATGATTCGAAATTGCTTCAGCTTCCGACTACATGGTCGATGGCCTTGCAACCGCGCACCTCACTGCCGCTGCCGACGTTGATTCGCCGCCACCACGCTATCAACACGTTCAAGGTACTGTATAATAAGCTTGGAACGCCCAAACTTAGATTTGAGCCAGAAGTTTCAATATCCAGGGTGAAGAAAAGGAGTAGGTTTCAAGAAAAAACGCTTAGAATCTTTCAAATCCTCGAAAAGCTGATTCTGCACACCAATTTATGTATTTTGTCTTCTGGAAAGCTTAGGAAGCCCTTATGATATCGCTGAACCGATTCAATCTCTTTCCTTGGTTCAAATCACTTTTTAAAAAATCGAGTCCATTCACAAGCACTTGAAAATTTTAAAGGCGCATAGAGGTCTCAAAAAAATGGCCTGCGCCTTTAAAGTATTTCACGAATGAACTTTACTGTATTTTCTATTGCCCATTCCCAAAAGCCCTAAAAATTTAAAGGCGCAGGGAGGTCACTGGAAAATGGTCTGCGCCTTTAAAGACCTCTGAGAGCTGTTATGAATGGACTATACTGCACATTCCTCTATTTCCTTGGTTCAAATCACCCGGAAACTTGCAAGATGTAAATGGAAGTTTAAAGGCGCATGAGGGATCTTCAAAATATTTCGTTTAATACCATGCGCCTTTAAAAAGTTCCTAAAGCTTCCGTGATTGTACTATAATGAACTTTCCTCTGTTTCCTTGGTTCAAATCCTTCCAAAACAATCGAGTTGATTCACAAAGGCCTTTGGAAATACTAAAGGCGCAGGCAGGTCGTGGAAATCGCCCTGCGCCTTTAAAAAGTTCAGAAAGCTATTGTGATTGTACTATACAGATCTTTCCTTTGTTTCCTTGGTTTAAACCACTTTTTAAAAATCGAGCTTATTTACAAAAGCACTAGGAAAATTTAAAGGCGCAGGGAGGTCACTTAAAAATGGTCTGTGCCTTTAAAAACCTCTGAGAGCTGTTATGAATGAACTATGTTGCATTTTCCTCTGTTTCCTTGGTTCAAATCCTTCCAAAACAATCGAGTTGATTCACAAAGGCCTTTGGAAATATTAAAGGCGCAGGCAGGTCGTGGAAATCGCCCTGCGCCTTTAAAAAGTTCAGAAAGCTATTGTGATTGTACTATACAGATCTTTCCTTTGTTTTCTTGGTTTAAACCACTTTTTAAAAATCGAGCTTATTTACAAAAGCACTAGGAAAGTTTAAAGGCGCAGGGAGGTCACTTAAAAATGGTCTGCGCCTTTAAAAACCTTCAAAAGCTGTTATGAATGAACTATACTTCACTTTCCTGTTTCTTCGGTTCAATTCACTTTAAAACAAGCAAACTCCACGCTTCTCCGTTGCCCCAACTACAGAGCCGAGCCAGCAAGCGAGAGCCGCCCTCGAGGGATCCCTTCACGAGGACGTGCGCGTCTCCCTCGAAAGGGCGCACCCCCACCATCTGCCGAGCCGCTCCCCGATGCGACAGTCGTTGTCCTCCTATGGGAAAGAGGACCTCGCCACTTGTCTTTCTCCGACTTGTCCCTTCGTGACAAATCCCGCCGTCGTCTCCCCTAGTGTCAACCCGAAATTCAGTAGGTGTTGTGTGGTCCTCGTCTTGCTGGATTTTATAGCCTGGAAAAATTAGCTTGTTAGGGAAAATGCGCTCCACTGATAATTTTTTTTTGTGAGCTTCTCATTTAGACCGGGCGTGCTCCGGACGTTTCTGAGAATTTCTAGGGATCACGGCTGAGAATTCAAATTTGAGTTTTTCGCGCCATTAGCCTTGGAGCGCACTTTCATTGACGAGTTTTCGAGGCTATTTTGTGCTAGCCTGGAAAAATGAGCTGGGTTGGGAAAATGCGCTCCACGGCCAACTTTCGGTGAATTTTGACACTGGTAACGCAAACCGGACGACTCTTGAACGTTTCAGACCCATTTAGTGATCCCTTAAGTGCACTGACGAAGCTGAGAATTCAAATTTGAGTTTTTCGCGCCACTAGCCTTAGAGCGCAATTTCATTGGCGAGTTTTTCAAGGCTATTTTCCAGCTTTTTTCGGTTTTTTTTTTTTCTCCTTCTTCTCAAATCTACTGGTGGTTTTCTCTCCGTGGTCCGTTTTGCATGATTTTTCTAAGGTCTGGAATTTTTTTTAACGACTATCTAACCCTTCTACGCTGTTCCAACACATTTTTTGAATTATTTGAAAATCGCGAGTTCTAAAAAAAATCTCTAACATTATTTTCACGTCAATGGGCTGTTCTAAGTTGCTTTGAGCCATTCCGCGTGCGACCAGTTTTAGTGAAGGGTTTTTACTAAAAAATGAATAATGACGTTTCAAAATGGAATGTTAGGGGTGACGATTTGGGGATGTACCTTTTTTTTAACTACTGAATAATTTTATAACTTAATCTTCACGGCTTGGAACGAAATTCTCAGTTCATATGCGAAGCGGTCGCGTTGCGTTTTGGCGCCATATCAAAAATTATCGCATTTTTTGGGCTTTTCAGATTTTTTTTTTGGAGTAAGCTGTCATATCGAATTTCTTTCAAAGAAGATTTTTTGAGACTTTATTCAAAGAATGATGGTAATTCCACTAAGCGATAATTTTGAAATGGCGCCAAAACGCTCCGCGACCGCTACGCACAAGAATTGCAAATAGCTCACTTTACTGTTTCAAGCCGAGAATTTTATTAAATTAACCCAAGACCTTTTTCACTTTTCACGAAGCGAAAAGGGACTTTTCAGGCCAAGGAACCTTGTCGAGGAGTTATCATCAATCTTGTACGAGTCTCGAGGGATCGCGACATCGCCCACCTCAGGTCGTCTACACCGGAACTGGACGACATCAAGTAATCCTCCATTTACCATACAAATCCCAACAGAAATCTTCCAGCCGATCGCCAAAATCGACAATTTCGAGTCGCCCTACGGGTCCTCGTCGGCCCTGGGCTCCTCGGCCACGCCCCCTTTGCCCATTCATGCTCCGCCCTCTGGTCCTCCTACTGTAATCGATGGGTACCGTACTCTCCGTGGGAATCCTCCCAACTCGGCCAACGCCTTGAGGTATAGTCCATTAGTTCCCGGTTTCAGAAAATATACAAAGTTTCAACAATATGTTCAGTGTAGTAAATGCACAATTGCTTATGAATGTCCTAAAAACCTTTTTTACAGTCCTAAAAAGCGAAGTGATGACTAAAGTGGTTTATTCGAAGGGACCACTTGAGGTCTTCCAGTTTCGTTCGTTCATTTTAATCCAAGTGGCCACTTGAGTGACTTTCTATTTCCATGGGGCTTTAGGTGGTCCCTCAAGTGATCACTTGAGTGATTTTCGATTGAAATGGTCCCTGAAGGATGATACTGAAGGACCATAAAGGCTCAAGTATCCACTTAAAATAGTTGACTTCTAAGTGGTCACTCAAGGGAACTCACTGAAGCGGCCACTTGGATTAAAATTACCCCTCGACTGTAGAAAGTTTCTCAACTGTCTTCATTCAAGGGGCCCCTTAAGGGATCTTCTATTCCAATTCAAAAGGGACTTTAGGTTGTCCCTCAAGTGTTTTATTTCAAGTGACCCCTTCAGTGATCTTTTTTCCATTCAGAAAGACGTTGTAGGTTTTCCTTCAAGTGTTTTAATCCAAGTGGCCCCTTAAGTGATCTTCTATTCCCACTGAAAAGAGGCTTTAGGTTGTCCCTCAAGTGATCACTCGAGTGATTTTCGATAAATCAAGCATGTTACCGAACGACCGTAAAGGTTATAGCTCAAGTATCAACTCAAAATAGTTGACTTCTGAGTGATCCCTCAAGTGACTTCTGCAATTCGCTGACTTGCTTAAGCGATCACTTGATTTAAAAAAAGAATTTTTGACTGTAAAAAAAGCTCAAAACGAAAGACCTTGAGTGGACTTTTCAGAGAAACCACTTAAGTTATCACTCCGCTTCCAAACCCCTTAAGTGATCAGAGCGAGTCACGATTTTAAACCAAAAATCTTTCCAAACAAAAATCCCTTAAGTGACCAGTTGGTCAAATCAAATTGATTAGTTTCATGAAAAATAATCAAGAAAAATGGCTGGAAAAGAATATCATCAAAACGGACTGTTCCAGGTCCTTCACCCAATTGGCCGGCGTGACTCCGCCCCCTTCCTCTGGGGGTCGTCCGGTCGTCGTCGCTTCCGGCGGCAAACATGTCCCCGTCGGAAGGGCGACCGCCCAGCCTCGCGTTAACGTCGCCAATATTTACAGGTACCCAAAAGCTTCAAGAAAAAAAAATAAGGATTTTCAGTCCATATGCTTCCTGCTCCTCTGACGCCGAGTCTGAGAAGAAGCACACTGGACCTTCTTCGGCCGCCGGCGATTTCGAGATGCGCGAAACGCCGACGAATGTCCCCAGACAGAGCCCCTCCCATCCGCCCCCAGAGAGGATTACGATGCTCCAGGTAACGTTCCTCAAGTGGGCTCTCAAGGGATTAATGGAAAAAAGCCTCTAACTTTTTTGAAATTCCCCCGAGCACTGGTTATTACGATGCTCCAGGTAACGGGCTACGAGTGGACCCTTAAGGGAAAAATACTTGGCTTCTAACGGATTTTGAAATTCCCACGAGCACTGGTAAATGAATCGATTGATTGGAAACGAGCCCTTTAGAGGTTATTACGATGCTCCAGATTACGTACCTCAAGTGGACTCTCAAGGGGTTATTGGGAAAAAGCTTCGCCTCTTACGTTATCAGTACCAAAGGGTAGAAAATTTTCGAAACTTTCCCCTTCTCAAGAGAGGATTACGATGCTCCAGATGACGTCCCTCAAGTGGACCCTTAAGGGATTAATGGAAAAAAGCCTCTAACTTTTTTGAAATTCCCACTAGCACTGGTTATTACGATGCTCCAGGTAACGTCCCTCGAGTGGACACTTAAAGAATTTTTGGGAAAAGCTTCGCCTCTAACTTTATCAGTACCAAAGTGTAGGAAATTTCCAAAAATTTTCTCGTTCCAAGAGAGGATTACGATGCTCCAGATGACGTACTCCAAGTGGACCCTCAAGGGATTATTGATGTGAAAGCTTCTTATCTTATGTTTTTAGTACCAAAGGGTAGAAAATTTCCACGAGAATCGAATCAAAAAAGGTTGGGGGCGTGCTCTTCAGAAGTTACCACGATGCTCCAGATGACGTCCCTCAAGTCGACCCTCAAGTTATTATTGGGGAAAGCTTCGCATCTAACTTTTTCAGGAACTTCATGAAATTGACGTTGAAAAAAATCAAAAAAAAAATTAGGATCTAATTAAGAAGCCTATATAAGTTTGAAATAACACTAAAAAGAGACACTTGGGATTTTGAATTATAGGAAAAAAAGTACCATGCGCCTTTAAAACGCTCAGATTTTACAACGCGTTTTACAAAAATGCATTAAAAAAGTACATTCTGACGTTTAACTTTATGGAACCCCTAGATCTGAAATTCATAAAATGCGAACATTTGAAGAGGTTCTGGCAGTTCCAATTGACGCTTAAAATAATTTCGCGAAATTGGAATTTTGGGAGTGAAAAAGTAGAAAAATTGAGTCCTACAAGGAGAATTTTACGCGCGAAACGTCAAATTTTTGAACTGTAACAAAAATTTGAAATTCGCGCGTGAAAGCCACCGTAACAGTCAGCATATCGCAAAATATCGTTGCAGGACCCAATTTCTCCAAAATACCGAACTTGCCTGTTTCGCGTAATCCTTTTAGAGGAATTAGTTTTGAAATCGCCCAATTCACTTCCAACAAGTCATTGTGATTTTTCTATCATTTTTTTCAGTTACATTTGTCAGTTTTCAGACATCGAACTCGACGGAGGAACTCAACGCCCAGATGGAGAATCTCGACACGATGATCGACGATTTGCAGGCCTTGCAGCACGAATTCGGCGTCGCTTCTTGAATTTGTTGATTTTTTAATATTTTTTCCAATTTTCCCCATTGATCTTGTTATGCATAATCATGTAAAAATCTTGCTTTACAAATTTGAACACAACGTTTTCATGTTAGGAACTTGGTCTCATCATTTTTCTGAACTCTTTGGTCGCATTTGGAATGGATCGAAGCGTCGCGGGCGCATTTTTCCGAAAGCCATTCCCAATGCGACCATTCTTCATGTTTTACCTACAATTTCTTGTTCGATTCTCGCGGCTGGAATGGATCGATGCGTCGCGGTCGCGCGGCGTTTCGAATTTTGTCCGTGGAGCGCACTTTCTTTAGTTTTGTCGTGGAGCGCAGTTGCTCGCAATTTTTACTCAATCCATTTTTGTCCATTGAGCGAAGTTGCTCACGTTTTTCTACTTACTTTAGTTTTGTCCATGGAGCGCACTTGCTCGTAATTTCTACCGGCTCTAATTTTCTCCATAGAGCGCACTTGCTTGCAATTTTCACTTAATTTATTTTTTTCCCATGGAGCGAAGTTGCTCGCAATTTTTTTCTAGCCTCATTTTTTATTGAAAAAAGCTTGATTCATAGCACTTGAATTTCAAATTGTCCTTGGAGCGCAGAAAGTCGAATTTTCGAGGCTATTTTTTCCTAGCTTCATTTTTACTGGAAAAGCCGCTCCGCAGCATCAAACCATTCTCAACGCGACCCTTTTACTAGAAAATTGCCCCTGGAGCGCAGAAAGTCAAATTTTCGAGGCTATTTCTTCCCAGCTCATTTTTTTTTAAGGAAACCGTGTCGCAGCCGCAACGCCTCGAGCCATTCCCACTGTGACCATTTTTCATGTCTTAAATATTTCTTGTTTGTTTGTTTGACACACGTATCCAAGACATTCTTTCACGTTTCACTTATTCTTTTTTTCTTTTCACAAAAAAAAAAACTTGCCTTCCTGCCAAAATATCTCGCTTTTTTCTTCACAAACTGCTTGCTTGTATTTTTTTATTTATTTCCTTTTTTTGGCTCCTCGTAGCCGGTGCTCAACGCATTTTCTTGCTCTCTTTTCATTAGAAAAAAATTACAAAAAAACTCACAAGATTCCGACGAGGTATTTCGCTCATTTTTTTAATTATTTCCCAACTTATTTATTATTTTTTTCTCACTTTTTTTATTAACATTGACTTGATCCTCAATTTTAATAAATGGGTTTTAAAATTTGGAAATGTGAATCAACAATAAAAGAAGAGTATAGTGATCACTAAAGGGTATTCTGGTGACAATTTCCAAGTTAAGGGAATTTCTCAACGACAAAAAACGGCCGCTCAAAGAGAGTTAGAGCTAAAGGCGAAGTGACCACTCGAGGGATTTGTAAGCTGAGTGGTGACTCAAGTGGTTTACTTCAAGGGTCCACTTAAGGGCTTTCCGTTTTATTTAAATTCTTCGCACAAGTGCGCCATAAGCTCATATTATTCCAAGTGGTCGCTTAAGTAACTTTTCAAAGTTGTTTCCTACAAAAAGAAGGATTCTGAGGGATCATCACTGCCAAGGTCGAAAGTGCGGAAAACGGGTGCAAAAAGGTAGTGACTGCAAAAAGGCCGCTAAATGGGTTCCGTTTTGCGGCCTTTATTGAGCCTTTCCTTCTTGGTGGGCTAAAAAGGGTCATAAAAGGGCGAAAAAAGGGAGAGGCCGCGAAAAGGGTGAAGAAAGAGTGGGGGTTCAAAAAGGTTCTGAAAGTCTCTGTTATTGATGATTTCCGATGTTATTACTGTAGCTTATTTCGGTTCATACGCAGTCACTTGTAAAGATTATTCTCAATAAAAAAAAAAAGATTGTGTTTCTCAAGAGGGTCCAAAAAGGGTGGATGAAGGCCGATGAAAGGACGCAAAAAGGCAGTAAAAAGGAAACCGTTTAGGAACAATTTCCGGAAACAGACGGATCCGTAACGGACGCTCAAAGGGCCCGTGAAGGGTCCTTCCCACTTTGCCTATGCTCCAGTTGTACGCCGCGCGCGCTCGTTTTTTGACCATAACTTTTTTCTTCAAAAACTGAACGGATTATGAAAATGGACAGTTTCCTCTATCGAACAATGTAAAAAACATATTTTTTGAATCGTTCTGAAGAAATGGTTTGCGGACCCTAGCTAAGAGGCTCGAAAAAGGTAGCAAAAAGGTTGCAAAACGGATCAAAAAAGGTAGCAAAAAGGCGCAAAAAAGGCAGCAAAAAAGGCTGCAAAAGGGGTCCCTTTATCGAGCATTCCATTTTTCTGGTATTTTAAAGACTCGAGAAACGGTGGAAAAAGGGAGAGGCTGCAAAAATGGTGCATAAGGGCCCAGAAAATGGCCCAAAAAGGCAGCAAAAAGGGAACATTTCTATGGAGCCTTTTTCCACCTTCTGCGAATTTGCCTATGTTAAAAAAATCTACTGAAATCCTAGAAAACAAGAAAAATAATGAGATCTTGTATAAGTATCTTCCTGTTCGTCCAATTTCGTAAAGGAGTTCGAATTCCGTTTTTTTTTTTTGAAAGTTGCATAAAAATCCTTAATTTTGAAGCGAAGATGTCATCAGACTTTGATAAAAATTAATATTAATTGATAAAAATTATATGTATTTTGCCGTTCTACCGCAGCTTTTCGACCACCTTCAATTTTTACACATTTTAAACCATTTTAAGGCTTATTTTCATTGATTTCTAACCTTCGGTCATCAAAAATGTGTCATTTTCAGCAAATTTCAAAAATGGGGAAATGGTCGAAAAGTGCGTTATAAAAAATATGGTTGAAATCCAGTGGTCGAGATGGTCGAGAAAATTGAATAAAAAAAAAGCTAAATAAATGATCTTTTTCAGAAAAATCTTAAACCTCTGACAAATTATGATCTTGAAGAACTTGTAGACACACTAAAGATCAAGAACTTCCGTGGTGTTTTTTTATGCGAGATACTTTGCCGGATAAGATACTACCAAGAGAAACTGGTATTATAAATTTAGATTCTTCAGAAGGTAAAAGGTACTCATTGGGTTTGCTACTCCAAAAAAATAATAAGAACATTAATTACTTTGATTCGTTCGGATTAGATCCACCATTAGAACTTCAACAATATTTGAAAACCTCGAAAGGTAAAGATAAAAAATCAGTCATCGAATTGTCAACATTTCAAATTCAAGAATTTGGAACACATCATTAGTGGTTATTACTGTTTATTACTTTTTGAAACTTTTTGGAATCCACGGATTTCCAAAAAAATTATTTTATCATTTCTTGAGGACTAAAAACCGTAAGCATTTGTTTCATATGAATTTGGTATAATAATCCTCTTGAAACTCAGCAATTTTGATTCAGTCTCTTCATTGTCAAAAACAACTTTTTCTTGTTCTTGGGTGTATAATTGTTGTTTGATACTTCGAATACAACATTGTTTCTTTCTAACAAAACTCTTATTAAAAAAAGACTTTCTCGAAAATCTTCAACTTTTAACTTCTTGACAACACACTTCTTTATTCCTTTACTCTTTTTATTTTCTTCTCCAGGTTTGGGTACCTTTGAAAGTTTCGGATTTTCTTTTTCTTCCTGATTTCTTTTCTCGTAATAATCTTTTAAGTTTTCACGTGTTTCTTCAGAAATTTTATAAGCATATGATTTGGGCTTCAAGGCTATAAGTTCTTCCATAATTAAACCATTCAACTCATCTTTGAATTTTCCAACTACTTTTTTATTTTCAACATTATGTAAAGGATGGCATTCAGGATACTCACTGAAATCGAAATATTCTTTTATTTTTTGATCATTTTGAATATCTTCATAAAGATCATTTGTCATAATCTCATAAATAAGAGAATCTGTATCCTGATAACACAACTTAATATTATCTCCATATTTCTTCTTCATAACATTATAATGAAAATCATACATCAACCATTTACTAAGCTCTAAAATAGCAAATCCAACATAAATTGGTTTATTCATTACTATTTTAGTTGTTGCCATTTCAACAAGATTCAATTCTTTGTTTATTATTATATTCCTATTGAAGTTAGGCAACTTAGCTAACTTTGCTATTCTATCCTTCTTCGAAATGTAATGAGTTTCTCCATTTTTCATTAATTCAGTTTCTCCAGAGAATATTAATTTAACATCAACTCTATTGCGAACATTCTCCATTGTCTTACCAAATACACTATTATTCATAAGTTTGAAGAAATCCTTCTCAAAATCATTTTTAGCTTTTTTCCTAAGGTCAGTATTCAAGTCAATATATGAAGCAAAGCCAATTACTCTCATCAAATGTCAGAATTCTCTTGACTTTCTTCAATTTCATTCCAAGATCTAGAGCTTGTAGCAGGTTTTGATAATGAATAACATAATTTGTTTTATCCTCTAAAGTATTACACAACTTCTTAATATTATTACCAAAGTCTCTTATCTCAGGGCAAAGTGGAAACTCATTATGTTTATGATGCAACTCATTTGGATATTCCAAGTCTACTTCTAGAATACATCCTTTTCCTTGACTATTAAGATTTTCTATGTATTTTCGAATTTGTGATTTGCTTACTTCATTCATAGAAATATTCAAAACACTAAGTTGGATTTGTTTCTCAAAAATAAAGTTGCTATGAGGTAATAATTGTTTCATAGCCCAACCATATAGATTATTAGCATCTAGATATAAAAGGAAGTTTGAAGGCATCGATGGATTGAACTTTGGAGTGTATTTATTATTAGCTTTTGTATATCTTTTAATAGCATTAACTATTCCACCTCTTATTCCATCTTCAATCATGAAAAACTTTTCTGTATCATTAATAGTATCTAGTCTAACTTTAGTATATTTTAACATAGCATCCCAAGATAATCCAGGACTAGTATAATACCAACATGGATCAAGTCCATATTTATCTAAACTTAGATTACGGAAATTCTCGAAGACATCTGCTAAAAGAAGAACATCATTAATCATATAAATCCTAGTATAATCTTCTAAATTCTTACAGTTCATCTTATTCCAAACTAACCTGGCGTATA